ATCATTACATCAGGAAGTCGACTTGGTCCTGAATGACCCCAATTCCTATTTTTAGTCGACTCACTTTGTCCTTTCAATAAAATAGATATAAGTAAATTTTTTCATAAATAATTATAAATAAAAAGAACATAATAATTACCATCAAACTCTATGTTGATATCTTCTATATTATAGAACATAAAATCAAAGATACACTTGACGACTTGATGTGTGTATGATCTTTCATTAAGATTAGGTGATTTTTGTTGATATAACGGCATTTTCCAAACCAATTCCAATTGTGTTAAAAAAGAACCTAGTGCGTTGTAAAATTTCTTATCATCATTCCGAAGATTTTGCATGGTCGCATATCCGTGCTTAATACGTAAATCGATAAATTTCTTCTGGTAATTATCTAATTTAACTTTAAATATATCAGAATCATACGAATATAGTTCATTAATACAATTATAATTCTTAATGACGTTAAAGATTGGTTTGTGATATTTTTTTAATAAAACCCCATTAACAATGCCATCTGAGAGTAAATCTTCAGGAACAAGATTTGCGTTTTCTATGTTATCACAAATTAACCTTGAAGAAGTTGACATTTTAGGAAAGTATGTAGTAAGCTAACAAAAATAAAAAGGAGATACATCAGTTATGGATTAGTAATTGTCTGAAATATTACATCAACGACCATTTCGTAATATTATAGTTAATTTGAGCATAATATGTTTACCTTAGTAAATCTTTCTTTTATTTCAATACTGTTGAATTCTACAATTGACAAATCTTCAACCGATTCCGTAACATCACTATCATCATCAATCTCACTATCAACACCAATCTCAACACCATCATCGTGAACATTTTGATCTTCAATATCAACAGCATTATAATGATCATCATTTTCATTATCATTGTTCGTATCTTCTTCAATCTCTATCTGACATAAGAACTCAACATTTTTTTCTTTTGCACATTCTTGAATATATGTCCAATATTTAGCGTAAGAATTTTTTAAAGTTCCAATATATGAGTAAAATGCTTTTGACGTATTAAGAAATTTCACATCCTAAAAGTATGCAAATACATAAAAAAAATTATTAGTTCATATTGTCTTATACCGTAAATGACTATTATTTTAAAAAATCTCAGAAGAAAAAAACTTTTTTGGTTTATAACATTATATTGACGCAAAGCCTCGACGAGGGTGGCCAATATAATACCAGAGAAGTAAATTTCACCTTTTTCTTTTTACATTAATATATTACCAAAGCTTCGACGAAGGTGATAGATATACTTAATATATATGCTAGTCAGATATTTTATAAAAAATTTGATGCGCGCAATCAAAAAAAGTTATCATAATTTGTGAGGCCGTCATACAATAACTTTACAAAGACCAATCCTCCATCATTCCAGCAAATAAGTCATCCTCGATACACTTACTAAATCATTATTTTAAAAAATAATAACACTTCCATTATAATTGTTCTTGAAAATAGCATTAATTCGCCTACTTTCATCTCTTCCAAAAGTCAACTTCTTTCTCAAAGCTAAAAATATATAAAAATTATAAATATCTTGTTGCATCAAAGAGTCTTTCACTAATGCTTGGTATGACTCTAAAAGGTCTCTGAGTATCATTTTTAATTTTGATAATTGCGCAGTTTGAAGCGGATTTAGAATAGCCCAGACTAAAAAAAGATATCTTCATATGTGAGTAATTATGCATTAAGGTAACACCGCATAAAATTTAATGCAGGCCACTAATTATTAAAGCCAGTCAAGTTTTTATCGCCTATCGTTATTATAAAAATATTAAACTCAGTTTATACTCCGACGGCCTCTGGAAGCTGTCGGGAATACGGAATTTATCGTTATGCGATAAGAATTTGTAAATTATGCGTGCGGACCGTTAAGTCATATGATAGTATGATAGAATAAATTCGAAATGATCTAATAGCCGTGAAATTAAATTACCGCTACATGTTGTGTTAAAATAGCGCACACATATGTTTACCGAATACGTGTTAATAGATTCTAGATAACCGCTGTTAAACCATTGTTGAAAGTGTTGTTGGCTTTTTTATAACAAATCTATGTAAAATCGCTAAGCCATTGTTGAAGTGCTGTTGATAGATGGTTAATAAGATTCATCGCGCAATTTTTTACTGTTATCGTAGATCAGAAAGCACGAATTATTATACCAAATATAGCGATTTCGTGTTAAATTTCTGTAGCGCCAAATATATATCGATATGCAGTGTGGGCATAGCCACATGCAGTACATATAAAATAGATTTTTTAGCACCTTTGGCACTAGCTCCGCTAATATTCTGCCCAATTTCTCTTTTTTTCGTTAGATAGTTTTTGCGTTGATAAGATGATTGCTAGAGCTATTTGTATGGGTATATTTAGTCAAGCAAAAAATTTCGTTTCTAATATTGGGCGATAGGACCTCTGACTATGCAATGTTGTGAAACTCGACGAGCTTATAATTATCTTAGGTAGCCCAGTACTTAGGTGAAGGTGATTATCTGGTCTGCAAAAAATATATGATCTATCCTTTATAGAATAGTCTTCTCAGGTATAGTTATAGCCTTTCGAGACAGGCCTAAGATCTGACTATTAACTCCCTGCAATTTATTTTTTTCTATGCTTATAAAAACCCAATTTTAGAGGCCATGATCGTCAGTTATAATTGTCTACGTAGCGAGGAGAGGAAGACCCGATGAGCTTCCCGCGGTTTAGTCCACTGAGCTACATGATGAGAATAATTTGAAAGTATCCACCTTGCTTTTATTATACTTCCATGATAGTTATGCAAAAATTTTTTCTCATATATATTTTTTCTATACACTATTATAGAGGGCACAATCATCAACTATCATCGTCTGCGTAGTGAGGAGAGGAAGATCACACAGGCTTCCCGCAGTTTAGTCCACTGAGCTACGAGATGAGAAATAGTTCAAATGTATTCACCTCGCTTTTTATTTATTATACTTCTTCCTG